TGTGTGTCAAACATTATGATTATGTCTCCTCTCCCCCTCTCCCCCCCACCCAGCCCCACCCTTTCAAAATAAAAGCCCCATGGTTTAACTGTATTTAAACAAGCTCAAAATTAGGCTTTTTTGTTAAAAAAAATGAATGCTCTTACTAATACTGCTGCTGCTAATATAGTAATACTACTACTGCTACTACTACTACTACTTCTACTATAACTTTTGCTGTTGCTACTATTACTACTACTGCTATTACTGCTACCATCAATATTATTACTACCACTACTGCTATTACTACCACTACTACTATTACTTATACTACAACTGCTGCTACTACTACTGCTATTCATGCTACTAAAAGTAGTAATACTACTACAGCTATTAGTATGACTGCTACTAGTACTACTACTACTGCTACTACTGTTATATTAAATACTACGACCAATACTACAGCTATTACTATGACTACTGATACTACTTCTTCTACTACCTCTTCTAATTACTAATACTTCTACTACTAATAATACTTCTACTACTACTACAAATATCACTACTGCTACAATTAGTACTTATTCTAATGCTACTAATACTTCTACTAATAATACTTCTACTACAACTTCTACTACTACAAATATCACCACTGATGAAATTTTTTAAGCCACAGAAACCATTTTAATATCAAAATGTTCAGCTCTTTCAGGAGAGGAGTGATATGACTTTTCATATTTGTAATCTTTAAACTTTTTGAATTATTAAGCTTTTTGCAATTTTTTTAAAATTGGATATCTATTTTCAGCAATGTTTATGCAATTCATTTCAGCTTTCAGCATTCCAACGCATTTTCAGCAGGAAATGCATTTTCTAGTTCAACTTCTTCAACTTCTCACAACTATTTCTTCCGTACATTTTTTGCTACTTATCTCCTTCCACATTTTTTAAGCTACAGAAACCGTTCAAATATCAAAATGTTCAGCTCATTGAGGACACGTGTGCTATGACTTTTCATATTTCTAATCTTTAAACTTTTTGAATTATTAAGCTTTTTGCACATTTTTCTTTGAATGGGTTTCTACGGAGAAAATGTTCAAATCCTCTTCAACTTTCAAATCCTTCTACTTCCTCATACTTTCAGCTACAGACACCATTTCAACTTTCAAATGTTGAGAAAACCCTGATCTATTGCAGAATGATTCAGCTTTTTGATATCTTTTAAACTTTTTGAACTGCAGCAATTTAAATTTTATGATTTTTTCACTCCTTTTCTGACTTTATAATGGGTGTGTATTGCGCAGCTTAGAGTGCGTGATGTCACCGCTAGAGTGAAGAGCAGCTTGAGATTCTTGTGAAAAAAAGATTTGTATTTT